CTAACTATTTTAGATTTTTGAGTCTAAAACAGTATGAGTGCTCCCATTACTATGAAGCCTTATAATGAAGTAAATCAAACTTTTATGGTCACACTATTCAAGTTAAAATTCTTTATATCATAAATCATGGGGCTTGAAGATTAAAAGCTCTAATATTTTGCTGCATCATTGTGCATCCTTGAATTTATTGGGTATGTAACCACTTGAGTAGATATTTCATTTGACATAGAAGTCTTGCAGATAAGCTTGTGGTATCCAAAAATATAGCAAAAGGATTTCTTTTGATTCTGTTTTTTTATATTTATAGAGTTTTTCTCATATTTTCTTAGCCTGCATTAGTTGTCTATCAACACTTAATGGTTTTAGTGACTTTCAACAGCTGCAGCTTTGTATCACAGATCTTGGATGTTGTAGACCAGGATGTGAGACCCTACAATGTGGATTTGGAGCACTGTAGCATAGATTTGATAAATTGTTGAATGTTGCTTTCTCTTTTCTTTTCCTTTTCTTCTCACTTGTAGAAGAATTGAGGTGAGTTGGTTCCTTTAATTAAAAATATACAATAACCCAACACATATTCAATCAATACCAAAATTTTGTGATACTATACACACCCCTTCTTTATCTATGAATTTTGATCTATAAGTAGTCTTACTAAAGAATTTAACTTTTTCCTTCATAATTGAAGTTTTCAGAGCCCACAGATCAAACAAATGATTGGTATTGGACTTAAAGTTGGAGGGCTCTATTGTTTGGATCCTACAAAAAAGGATCAATAGTGATATTTACATAACAGCAAAAGAGCTTCATTTGCAACATCTAGGTCTAGGTTTGAATTACTTTGATTATTTAATGGCACTTTATCCTCTCTCTAAAGCCAATCAAACTCAAAGATCTGTAATGTCATGTTTGTCAATTTGAAAAGCCATGTACATGTTTCAATTTTTTAAAATAGTAAAGGTTTCATCCCCATTATTTTGTTTTACTTTGTTTTTATCTTGATAAATACATATTACATTAATTTTATTTTTGACTTGTTGTGGTATACTTTAATGAATCTATTTAATTATAGACAAGATGCTTCTTGAGCAATGTAAGCTTCATGGAAGATGATAAAAAATCAATTCAAGGAATGAGTTAACATCTTCAAGTTCAAAACTCTAATGGAAAACTTTAGAAAACAATCAGTTATGTCTAAAAAGATAACTGAATTGTTTACTAATCATGATGTGCTCAAGATTTTCAAGAAAATGAAGCATAGAGAATCAATAGACATTCAACAAACAACTTAGAATATTTTGTCAAGAACATGCTGCCATGGAAATTTATAAAATGATATTGATAAATGCATATACCATCAATAGAATGTCATCTAGAGCTCTTGGGCTTCTTTAATGATCCTGATTCTTATAAAATATCTATTTCATCTTTCACATGAAGCCTTTGGATGTCTATGTTGTACTCAAAACTTTCAGCAAGGGGCATTCATGGTTGGTGGCTAACCCACATGACTTGTTTTACTTGGTTATTCTCCACTTGAAAAGGTTAAAAGTGTCTTGATAAAAATTTGGCAAAAAAGTATGTATTTTGAATCATTCTTCACTCAACAATGTTATCTTTTTAATCTTACTATTAGTTTTCTGCCTATTGTACCCAATAGGAGTTCTTTTGCATCCCCTGAAGCCAAGTTTTACATCATGTGCAATCTCTTCTTCATTGTTGACTAATTCTTCAAATTCATATGCCATGTCTTGAATTTTCTTTCTATTGATGTGAGTACTAACATTGATTTTTTTTCTATAGAGAAATAGCTACTTACTTAATGATGAGCCATGATAAGTGAACTTATTGAATGTGAATGATTACTTTCAAAAGGTTATTGAATCCTTATGTCAACCCACATCTCAATCTCTCTCCCTTGGACAAAGATCTTCAAACATGTTCCATTTTCAAAGGAAACTATATGGTACACGGAGCAGATCATTTCAGAATAGATTGGTAAAGTTATTTCTCGCCTACTTACTATCCCTTTACATCAATCTCATCTCCATCCTTATTCCTAACTTCCTTTGTAAAAGTTGTAGAATAATCTAAAATGGGTTAACTGTCAAATGAAATGAGTTATTAATAACATTGAGAAAAATGAAACATCAAAGCTTATGGATCATCCCAAGAGAGAAGATTATGGTAGGCTCTAAATGGGCATTTATAATACTATACAAAAGTGAGGGATAAAGAGAAACATTGATAGTTTCTTATATTGGATATAGTTTTGTTCAAGTATATAGTATTGATCATGAAGATACATGTTGTCAAATAATAACATCAGAAATAATCATACACCACTCAAAAGACATGGAATATAGGAACTCATTGAAAAGAATGACATAGGTGAATTATAGATTTTTATGTTTGCAACAATAACCAAGCATCATTATATTCCCAAAACGATTGTCAAGACCCTCCAAACTTGATGTTACACAAGTTTCCCACGAGAGTACCTGTGGTTACTTAGTGGAGTGTTGAGTGCCGCTCATTTTGTAAACTCTGAGATGTGTCATTACATGCATAGACAACAGGCCCAGAGCTGAGAGAAAGCCCACAAATGGAAAAGTTTGTTTACGTTTGGAGCTAATCATCTATTCGCTAGGATAGTCTAGAATATAATCCATTATCGTATGGATTCAATTCTCAGTGTCAAATCTGGCGGTTATCAACACTGGTTCCAGACTTTCAATTGGGGCGTGGCTCATAAGCCCAACATATGCATCCCATACTGTGGCTCATCTTCCACCCCAACATTGGACTCCTTCCTAGGCTGCATCCCATACTTCCCCGCGTCCACCTCCCACCCCGCATGTGTAGCTAACCACCTCCCCTACCCACGCCATTCCGTTCTTCAGCTCCACGAAGCAACAAGAGCATGCTTGCAGTTGGTGGGGGCAGACCGAACTTCAAACGATTTTACCCAAGAAACTATTTTCTGGGTTTTCTCTTCGATGAAGCCCCTTTGAAGACCATTGACCGGGTCCGGAATGTGAAAGGGTCGAGAACAGCCTGGTACCCATTCTTTCTCTCTCTCTCTCTCGTCTTGCCAACACGAGTTGGAATAGCCAGACTAATGTGCCAGTCCATGAAGAGGGATGCAAAGACTTCGTCAACGGAAGCCGGACTGGGCCGGGTCACGGGGTTAACCTGACCATTGGCGCACCCCGCTCCCTAAGGACCTCCTAAATGTATGAACACTGCATATTTATACATATGATATGACAACTCTAAGCATGAATTTATAGAATACAAAATCATCCTAAAATTAAAATCCTCCAAAAAAATCCCATTGTTATTAATAAGAAACTTTTAAATATACATACAGTGTTCCACAAAAACGGAGGATTCTTAAAAAGGAAATATTTATTCTCGTAAATATTCCCCCATGATAAGTTAGCTATCTATAACATTTTGTAATAAACTCGTCCAGTAAAGCTCAGGGAAAATTCTCTTGTAGTTTTGTCTCCACGAGACATGGCAAGAGTACCCCGATAGCCTAGTCCAGTCTAGGTCTGGATTGAACTTAGAGTAGTTAATCCCACGCCGTTTGTGAGTTCAAAGAATGGGCCAAGTTGTTCTTATCTCGATTTGCCGATTCTGTTATGATTTAGCAGTGATTATTTGACTAGAATATTATTGTGGATTAGAACAAACTGAAGCTATCTGATTCTTGCACACGAATGAGTTGAGATGTCTACAATGTTCTTTCTTGCTTTTCATTTGTTCATTTCATCAAACGGTGGATTAGGGTTGGCGGTGGCTTGGAGTGAGTTTGAGAGCAGCTCACTAGAACTTGATAAGGTCAACGAAGATCGTTGCGTGAGCTCCTAATTCGGTCAAGATATTAAGGGACAACATGGTGTGTCGGATCAGCATTAACCGATCGGCTCTGATTCTATGAACATGATGCTTAACCAGTCCTACATGATGAGACTGAGTTCCTAATTTTTTTTGAAACATGTATGTTAGCTTATTAACCTCAATGCGCAATGCATTCTCTCCCCCTCTCTCTCACTGACGATGTACGTGGAGAGTGAATTCTCTTATTTTTCGATTTAACTTTCTTCAGGGAGACGCGTATTTACTGGAGATCGCGCAGTTCAACGAGAAGAGCAGCCAATTCGTCGATGCATAGGCAGATCAGAGGTCTTTCGTAGCTTGAAGACAGGACAAACGAGGGGACCATTCCATTGTAAAGAGGCGAGTGGTCCATTGTGTTGAAGAGGCTGGAGGATAGATGGAGTGGAGAGGAAAGACGAGCCACCTCTCTCTCTCTCTCTCTCTCTCTCTCTCTCTCTCTCTCTCTCTCTCTCTCTCTCTCTCTCTCTCTCTCTCTCTCTCTCTCTCTCTCTTTCTCCGTCCTCTCTCTCACCTCTCCCTCTCTCCTCCCTGGCGCGTGCAGCTTTCTCCTATGCTGGAACAGGGACCACGGACTGTCCTCCGACCTTCCCACCTTTGCTGCACCAACCCCGTCTGCAACCCTAACGCCTTACGCCATAACACAGGGGGGGGAGAAAAGGGAGAATGGTCAAACTGATAGTTTGGCTCAGAAAAACAAAACATTTTTCTGAAATGGTGTTTCATCGTACACGAATAGTACAACCTACCGTGGGTTCTTGATAATTATAGGGAAAGCTGTACATGGAATCCATATTAACTTCATTGATCCATCTCTCACTCTCTCCCTCTTCACACACGTCCCTCTCTGGCGACTCAAGTTGGAACCCACCATTTTCATGGCGATCAACGAAGTGCAGGTTCTCCATTGATTAGTTTCCCACACTAATTAAACACCTTCAATTATTCCATCAAAATACAAGAAAAAACTCTGCGAGCTTCAGCATGTGCCATTTTCAAGGGAGAAAAGGGATCCATCAGATGACTGACGATCTGACAATCTAGAGAACTCGACGCACGCCCACGTAGAGATTTCATCCTTCGAACCTAGCAGATCACTCGCCATGGAGAACCGAGCTCTGGAGATGCTCTTCTGCTACCCCCATCAGGAAGTTATTCATCTGGGCGGCGGGGCCGACGTACGAGGACGATGTCATCGGCGGCGGAGGCCGGAAGCCATGGAGCTCCTGCCCTTCGACCACCTGGCAGAAGCCCAGACGGGGATCGCGTAGGTCTGAGCTTTCCACGGGATGCCACGGCGCCGCCGTAGGAGGCGGTGGGCAGAGGGGGAAGAATCCTCCGGGGGGGAAAGGTAAAGGCGGGAGCTTATCGATCTCGTGGCGGGCGGCGTCGAGAAGCCAGTCCACGACCTTGCTGGGCTGACTCAGCCCTAGCCGTTCCTGGAGGTCATACAGCTGAACGGCGGTGGGTACAGACAGGCGTACGCGGCGGTCGCGGAGACCTCTCACCGTGGTCACCTTGCTGTGCCTGTCCTTACCTCCCAGACTCCGGGAGACCCTCACTATCCTCGGATCCCCCAGCTCCACCGCCCATCCCCTCAAGCTGGGGGTTCCACTTGTGAGCTTCTCGGCTTTCCGGCCATCCTCGTAAGGGTCTCTTGTCATCTCTGTCTAGCTACCAGACGAGCTCTCTCATGGGCTTTCTCTGCGTGGAGGATCAAGAACTATATGATGAAAAGGGTAAGGAATTTTCTGGAGGGTCGGATCCAAATTGATTTTTTTCGGGTGGGCTCTTTCTGTATGTTGGTGAACCAGGAGGTGCGCAGAATTAGGATTATCTGAAGAAATAGGTGAAACTTTTCTGCTGGGTTCTTTCTGAGAAATGCTATGCTTTAGGAACGGGGAGAATCATGGATTATCTCATGGAATGGGCCACGTTTTCTCGTTGGGTTCGATCTAAATGGATTTTTTACGGAGTGCTCTTCTGTGAGAGCGTATTCTTTAGGAGATGGGGAGATCATCTAGTAAAGCGGATTTAAAATTTTCTGCTAGGCTCTTAAAATAGGCTTATTCCGAAACCCCAGGTATCTCTGCAAACGGAAGAATCTATGACAAAGATGGAATATTGCAAGAATGATTATTGGTTTCGGATAACTGACGGGAAGGAGGGAGAAGGAAGGGAGGGAGGGAGAGAGAGAGAGAGAGAGAGAGAGAGAGAGAGAGAGAGAGAGAGAATAGGATAGATTAAAACCTCAAGGGAACTTCTCTCCTTCTTCGCTGTTGATGAAGGCTGATTTCTGAAACCCCTGTAATCGGCTTCTCTGTAAGGTATAAGAAGCCGACGAGAAGAAGAAGAAAGCCGAAACCGAGGCAAACCCTAGAGAGGTGGGGAAGAGAGAGGAGAGAGAAGAGTGGAAGGATTGCGTCGGCATTTGTGAACATGTGGTGCATATTTACACTCATTAAAAGATGGGCTTGCCGTCGTCTTCAGTCATATCGTCATCACAAAACTCCTACAATGACCAAATGAATGGAGCTGGATTCACCTTCGATGACACGCCTCCCTCTGTGAACATCCACACTCTCTTACACTCCTCAGGATGAAGAATGGAAGCGAGAGAGAGAGAGAGAGAGAGAGAGAGAGAGATGTGCACGTATGCTTCATTAACTTCGATAAGGGGGACCGAGACGCAGAGGAGCTCGGAAGAGGGAATCCTTTGGCGTCGCCAATAAATCCACACGACGTCCATCCCATCTAAGTCGGACCCGTCGTTCCCACATTAAATAAAAATCACATGCGCCACTATATCCCACGATGACTAATCCTCTGTCTACCAATTAAACAAGTTCTTACATCATAAGCTGCTGATATACATAAATTGTTGTTAATCAGACCAGGTTCTCGCTAAGTCTGGGCTGGATTTTCCAATGTTGGAGTCGGAAAGGGCTTCCGGACTCAAAACTGCCTAGTGCTCCATATGTACCTGTTCGAGGTGATGAGAGAGAGAGAGGTGTGTAAAGTTTGGGTGGCTAGATGACATTGAAACTTCAGCCGAGTCTGGATAGAGACTGGGCCGGATTTACTTTTCTTCTGAGACTTTATTCGAAGGATTGGGCCTGAACCAACCGGGGCGGGCTGAGAAAGCCCGACGTTCCTGGAGTTCGAATATCAATGGAGGAAAAACGGTAGTTCTTTCGGCGGATCTCACATGCATGGAGATTTGAAAGTAGTTCTCTCTCTCTCTCTCTTTCTCTCTCGCTGTGTCTCATGGGGATCTTCAAAAGGCGAAAGGGGAAACCCTAGTGGCTGTCCCTCCAAAGGGTGAGATGCTCAAAGGCCACCTTGGTGGGCTGAAACCCTAGGGATAGCGACCAATGGAGGCTGCTTTAAGGGTTCCAACAAATCGAGGACCACCCATGATGGAAATCGAATGATAGTCCGAGGAGGAGCTAGAGTTTCCTTCTATTGTGTCGAGATAGAGAGTGAGATACGGTGAATCATTCAGTTATTCATTTCAAATTTTCACAGCTCGCTTTGTCGTGATCGAACTGTGAACTACGATCCATCCATGGCAGGCTGAGCTCCGAGAAGACCCAGTATGCCGATCTCTCTCTCTCTCTCTCTCTCTCTTTCTATCCCCCTCTGGTTATCTATCTCCCTATATGTTTGTCTATAACTATCCACCTCTCTCTCTCTATATATATATATATGTGTGTGTGTGTGTGTGTGTGTGTGCGTATGGATATGTGCGAGGAGACTATTTCAATACAGCTTTCCTGATGCCAACTGCTGGGACAAAAACAGACGGTGATAACACTGGCTATTTCCTGGAGAACAAAAGAGCGAGTCTGTAAAGCTTGTGAACTGACAAAATTACCGGTTTTCCCCTGCTTTTCTGGATCTACACCGAGGATCTGTGACCCTTCCTGGTTTCTCGGAGGAACATATCGCGAAAACCCGAGAGAGAGAAAGAGAGAGAGAGAGAGAGAGAAAGAGGGAATGAGAGAGAGCGGTTGGTTCTCTGAGAGGAAATGGAGAATCCAAGGGTCATCCTTATCTTTCTTCACCGAGTCTGAAAAGAGTAACGTGACTCTGTAGTTTCCGTCCCATGAAATCATCTGTCTCTTTCTTCAATGAGAAAGGCAAGTTGCTGTCCAGCTAATCAGACCTCAGAAAGCCTCTCTCTTTCTCTGAAAACCCATCTTCTTGCCCTCCCCCCATCTCTTCATCATTGTCGATCGTCACAGGAAAAGAAAAATTCTATACTCTCTCTCTCTCTCTAGAAACCACATCAAACCGAGAGAAACTCGATCAAACCCACAGTCATCCTCAAAAGCAATGCATCATTCATCCACCGGTCCAATCCTGGTTTATCTCTCTGGGGACGCGAGGACGGTGGAAGAAAACCGAACACAAAGATCCGGGTTCAGATCCGCACCGCTCGTGGGAGGAATTATGTTATTTATGCGTTGGCGTGAGAGGAAGAGGAGCCAGCAGGGCCGCAGGCTTCCCTCCAAATGCCGCAGATGGCCCCGTCGGAGAACAGTCAGGCCTATTTACTCCGCCGTACGAAGGCGACTGGCCGCGGCCAGAAGATGCTCTCTCCGGTCGCCGGCGGGTGGGTGAGATTTCCCTCGGAAATATTTATAGACGCCCTGCCGGGTCCGTCATCCGTATTCCCCTCCCAATCAGTCGCTCTTCATAGTGCCCGTACTCAGAAAAGCCTGGAAAATAGGATCTGGGCCGCAGAGCATCGTGAATTTTACGTGCGTTCTAGTAGCTTTCGCTTTGATAGAACACAACAACCACTGAGAAAGGGTATGTGGGTTGCCTCACACACGGAGAACACGCGTGGTTCGTTTTTGTTTATGTATTAGAGACCACATCCACTGACGGGAAAACTTTTCGTACTACCCTTCAGTTTATATCCTTAGTTCTCCAGCAGCAGAGACGAAATCAAATATTGATGCTCTTGTACCGATTCTTGGTGACATTAATGCCAGCATTAATCATCCCCAATGGCCACCTTACATTTCTCTCTTCCTCAACGTCAAGGGGTCGACGGGGGGATCGCTAATGTCCATCATAGGTTATCATAGTTGATGCCTTTGTAACGAAGGACATCAATCCATCACATGAAGAATGTCTCTAAAAGGACTGGGTTGTGTAAAGCTCAATCAATTACTCCACATCTTCAATACACTCCACATTAGCGTGATCCAAAGCATCTTTTTAAAAAACGGTACTCGCAAGAAGCAACATACTTCTTAATTCCAAAATATCATTTATCTTCACAATGAGTTATTCAATAGAAAAGTCCTTTTACTTTCATTCTTTTGCAAGTTTACTCATAATATTGTCCACATTGTCGCAATCAACTAGCCAATTGGTGACGATGATCTCATCTCTAATAGTATGAACAATGTCGATGCAAAGGTTTAGGCTAAAGAGAGTTGTGCACGAGGACAAGACACCTCCCTTTCGTGTGATCTTTTAATACCTCTCCTTTTTTATGTGGCAATGGAAATACCAGCATAGTTTTCAGTGAAATTTAATGCTTCTCCCACATCTTCATATCATCAACGTGGCCTCTAACATGTCATGAAGATATAAACCATCGTCATGAGATGTCTCCTACATAGGTGTGGGCATGCCCATTGGCATTAATCCTTTGGTTGTGGTCATGACCACACCTCAGAGTTTGGCTGACCATCTAGCCCACCATGTCAAATTTGTTAATGTTCTATGTGGGCCATCCAGTCCAACAAATTCCTCTCCTATTGCATCATCTACTTTGGTGTCAACTACCATAGGATCATCCAAGCACATAACTAATGATCAGGTAGTCTAATTATGCATGGGTAGGATTATGGTTGTGGCAATATTGTTGTCAGAAATGGTGAAGATTTATCCATTTCTCATGTTGTCTCTCGTAATTTACTCTTTTCTCATTAAATTTAGGTTTTCTAATATATCCTACATTGAACTGATGCTTTTACTAGTTCTTTTGGTACTCATCAATTCGCTTATGATCAATAATTATTTCTTTGAATTTTTTCATAACTTTTCCCTAACAAGGATCTATGACAAGGAAGACGCCCATTTGATGTCTTCAGTAGCAGTAGATTGTATCAAGCCATCCTCCACCATATGTTAACTACTAAGGAGACACAGTTGTGTTCCCATTGGTGCATGAGTGATTTTTAAATTTTGGCACTCTTTCCTTGGACATCATATAAACCACTAGTTCTCAGACCTTAGAAAATAAATGATTTCCCGGAATAGATTATTATTCTCTGGCTTTTTCATCCTCACCAATGAAAGAAAATTTTGAGTTTCAGTTCTCGGTATTAGATTATTTTCATGTCATTCAATAGATAATTCTTTATGATGTTTAAACTTTTCCACTTCCTCCCACATGAGGATATAAATATTATGTTATGTTCTAGAATTGTTATTCCCAAAACTCATAGATTTTCGTATGCACTCTAAGGGTGGTATTTCTAGTATTTTGACCCATTTAAAGATCTTGTTGAGAATATGGTGTCTTCTACAAGAAAATTATTCCAAAGAAATAATGATGGTGAATATACCAACATAGCTACTAAATGATTTCTTCTGATAGTGAGATTCATTTCTGTTCTTCTTGTCTATCTTATACCAA